CCCCTTGTTCACCTCCCAGGACCCCCAGGGCTCAGCAGCAGGAGGTGATGCACTGAGCTCCAGGAGAGCATGAGTGCCCAGTGGGACTCTTACCCCATCAGCAGGGGCACTGCGGATGTCCTGGGCAGGGAGCGGGACTGGCTGGCACAGGTGACTGGTAGCAGGGGTACGTGCCCCTCCTGAGACTGGTCCCTGAAAGTGCTGGGGGTGGGGGGAAGTAGTGGTGTGCTGTGCCCCCCCCCAGCAGTTTTTTTGCCATGTAGGCCAGCGGCATGTTGTGGGGGGCACTAAGCCCACGGCATGTGAGGCCAGGCCCCTCCAGCCCCCGAGAGAGCTTTTGGAGTGCATGTGGCTATGGGGCTTTTGGCCCACCCCCAGGCCTGCCCACAAATTGTGCCCCCACCAGACTCAGGAGGCACCAGTCACCCATGCTGGCTGGTCTCTTTTGTGACAACTCTGAGGCTTTGCTATTTGCTTTATTCCTGCTTAACACCCTTACAAAGCTGAACTGCGTCCAAACTTCTGGTGTGGATTCCAGAAAGGCAGCTCTGGGATTCCTCTCTCCTTCCCTGAGCTGGAGTGACTGCAATGCACTGGACCTTGAAATCCTTCCTGCTGCAAACATCATCAGAACTGGGATGTCTCTGCCAAGCCTTTTGGCTCCCATGAAGCAGCACATTGGAGTAAAACACATTCCCAGCTGCTCTGGCAGAGTGGTATCGCTGGCCAGCAGTGGTGGGCCCTGCCCGGGGCACATCAGCTGGGCTTTGTGAGGGAAGTGCCTAAGGAAGCTGCCTCAGGGATTACTAGGATGGTGCCAGTCCTTCAGGCTGCCCTTGGAAAGGAGATGCAGTGTATTTGGTGGTGACTCACAAAGCTGTTGACTGCAGCATACGTGTCGTCCCAGATCAGCTGGCTGTGTCTCAGCACAACGGGGTCAGTCAGAGCCAGGTGGCCCTGCAGCACCCACTTGCTCTGCCATAGCTGTTTCATTGCCAGACCTGGCCCGGCCAGAGCCCCCACGCTGCAGCCCACTCAAAGGTGGCAATGCAGGGGAGAAAGGGGAGCGCTTGTTATGTGGCAACAACACAAAGGCACCACATCTCCTCTCCCTCCATAACCCAGAGAGAAACCCAGACCCAGGAAAGCCAAGTGCTGGTTAGTGAGGTGTCTGCTGCCGCCCAGTGGCAGATGACCAAATAAAAACCCCTGAGCACTTGGAATAGCATTAGGAGACTCACACCCAGAGAGCATCGCTCATCCCAGGCCCAGAGAGCCTTCCTCTCCATACTCTTTTTTCACCTCTGTCATCTTCCTGTGGCCATATCTGTCTTCCCCTTGCAGGGGTGGGGGCTCTGAAGGTATCAGTTACCCATGAGATGCCCTTCCCCATGGCTGAGCACTGTGCTCTTCCCACCCAGTGAAGACAGAAACCTGCAGCTTGGGTGTCCCTGGGTGCATCTACATGAAACATTTACTGCAGAGCTGGCTAGTTAGCTCTGCAGTAAAGTCGCCACATCTACACATGCAGCCCTATTAGGTAGGTCGCAGGAAACGAATAAACACTGCTGTGGGTTAGTACTTGTAAATACAAGTACTACCCTATGGTGGCATTACTTAGTGTGCCACAAATCATGTGCAGACACTGACCCAGTTGGCTGGGGCATGACGGTGTTACAGTGCGGGGACTGCTTGCCAGCTAGCCTAGCACTGAAACACCCTCGTGCCCCAGCCAACTCCTCGGTAGCATGCTGAGCTGAGTCAAAGCAGGCCTGGGCTGGCAGGCCTGTCCCCAGGTCCCCTGCCAGCCAGGGCTGCTCTGATCTGGCTCAGCATACAGGTAAATGTGGTGCCCAGGAGCAATACAGTCTGGTGCAATAAGCACTGGAATTTATTGCGTTGCGTTAACTGCACGTGTAGATGCACCCCTTATGTCCATAACAGACAAAAGAACCAGGCTCTGAAACCCTAGCTCTCTTCCCTGAAAACTGCTCCTTGCATGTTATCCATACTGCCTGCAGCTGTTTACCCACATGAATGTTCCCCTCGACAAGTGTGGCACCAGGGTCCCATCAGATTTCCATGTGGATGAGTCCATATTGCTGCCCTGAATTCCCCCTCCAACTTCACTTGAACAGAGGGCTCCATTGTGCGGCGCTGCTGTCGGCTGCCACGTTCCAGCTCCGAGGTGCCAGCATTCATTCCACGGTGGGTGAAGACATCCCAGCTGCCAGAGTGCTTTGGGATTCAGGACTGTATAAAAAGTGGCTGATAATTGTTGTAGTTATCCCGTACCCAAAAGGGAAAAATAAAAATCAAGCTGCGGCAGAAAGGAGGGCCTCTTTCTTCTCTCTGCCTTACTTCTCATTTCCCCTCCACCTCCACTGACAGCTACCACCCCAGAGACGGCATAGCTCAGTGCTGGGAAGGAGCTGTCAGTGGGAGCCCTGGCAGCAAGCAGGGCAGGTGAGTCGGGGATTGTGATGTGATATTAGGTGGCTGCAGAAGGGGATGGATATGCAGCCAAGGTGTATGCAGGAAGATGGAGACGGGGATTCCTGTCCCAGCTCTCAGCAATGCTTTAGAGCAGTGATTCTCAGCTAGGGTGCTGGGGTACCTTGGGGTGCTGCCAGATCCTTTGAAGGGTGCCATGGGGTGTGAGGAGATAAGCAGATAAAGTAAACAGAGAAGCAGAGGCTCAGGCTTGCCCCTGCCTGGATAAGTCCCCATCCCCTCTGCAAGGAGGTAAGCACTGTAATATATCAATTGAGTGCCATTCAATTCACAAGTTCTGGCGGGCTTCCCCGAGCCCAGTGAGGGGTGCTTCAAGTCCAGAAAGGCTGAGAACCACTGGTCCAGACACAGTCAGCTGCCTGGATGAGAGGCAGAGCTAAACTCCCATCAAATCTGGGAGTGTTTCCATGACTCCTGCCTGCCCTTGGTGGAGGACCTTCCTCAGGCTTTGATCCTGCTTTCCCTTACACTGCTGGAAATTGGAGTGACCCCAAGGGATCAACGGAGATGAACAATGTAAAGCCAGCATGAATGAGAAAGGAACCGGGCTGCCCGGTTACCTGCAGCACACTGGGGTTCCCTGGGGATCTGCCTCACTCTTCCTCTCTCACCTGGAGGGGCCCCAGCTTCAGAACCTGCCCCCAGGAAAGGAGACACAGGTAGTGAGGAGAGGGGAGCATCTTCCCAGTATCGCACAGGTCTCTGGAAAACAGGTCCTGCAAGTGTCCATGTTAGGGATCCCTTGGATAATGTTACAAGGCAGTGAACAGAGCCTATAAGCTGTTAAGCCTCCAGAAAGAGCCTCCACATTCTGGCCACATTAACACCAACCCCTGCTCACATCTGCTCCCAGGTTTATTTTTAATCAGTATTACACACTTCAGACTTCTTAATGGAGCAGCATTGGTGAACAGCTACCTCTGATTCCTACCCTCCCCCCCCCC